CTTGGACAATGTGTGGGGTGGGCTTTTGCTTTTCCACAAGGAAGTTCAGTAAGTTTCCTACAAGACTGGAGTACATTTCACGTCTAACAGATGTGAAATGTCTTAAATTCCTGGCATGAAGGACTGGTTCAAAGTTGCGACATGACAGACTGTCCTGGGCTTCTTGTTTCTTAACTCTCAAACATATTATTCTTGTCTATACCTAATTTAGACATACTGGGTTCAAATACTTGAGGGGGATGAATGTTTTTAGCACAAGATGAAGCAAGTCAAATGTGCAGCTAGATGAACACTACAAGCCTGAATAATTCTGGGAATATTTATTCTCTTTGGGCTCATTTCAACTGTTTAAGCCCTTCTCAGAAGGGCCCCATTTACAGATAGTGGAATCGCACTGATGTGAAAGTAACGTGTTAAAAGTATCCCAAGAAGGACTCAAAATGAGACCACAATGATGGTTACACTTGAGAACTTGTCTGTAGGGGACTGTTCTCCTTTCAGACAAGATGTGATGTGCCCTGACAACAGTGGCCATTCACTGTTCCTGTCACACTTGCACCCAGGGAACACTTTGATATTAATGAACAAAAGCAGATAGAGCACCTATCACAGGTGAAATGGAAATCATCCGGACAGTGCTATGAACTGTGCGTCTGGGTATCATTGAAATTCCTGCTTTTGCTGTTGTATGGAAGTACGTTTTCCTCAGCAGCTGATTTCTTTCCTGAGTTGCTTCCCTTTGGTGCTAGTACAGGATGTCTCGAGCTGCAGGAAAATTACAGGTTGCATTTCTCTTCCTTGGCCATCAGTGTCTTAGAATAGGCTGCTGCAAATATCATCTTTGATTAAAAAAACCAAAATAAGTTATAAGAAGCGTGGCTAAAGAATAAACTCCACAGGTATTCCTGAACAAACTGAAATGTCTCAAGACCCATTTTGGATATTCACATCTTAAATGAAGGTAGTGTAGTTTAGGCCAAGCATCACTATGGATTTCTTGTATCTTGATTCTCTGAATCTTCTCTAGGCTGTTCCTCCTAATTCCAGCAGTTAAGTGATATAGCACAACTTATTACTTTTTAAAGTATGATCTATATTTAGTCTTGCTGCCTAATTCAAACCTTGCTCTGAACCTAATGAAAGATTTAAATCTGGCAGCTCTTTAGCTTTTAGCACATGAATTTGCCTACAAATAAAGATGTCCGCAAAACACTTATTTTTGCTTTGATTCTGCTTGTATGTTTATGTATATTTGATGTTAGTATATATGTGCATTTGTGTATATACATATACTTGTTATTGGATGGGCATGACAAGAAACTGAGCTTCTGAATACGGATATGAAAGTATGTGTGATCATACTAAGGATTCAGACATCAAAATACTACTTTGAATGGATCTTAATATGTGATAAGGCCACATACACAGTCCCAGTTTGCTCAGCACTTGCTGCATTGCACAAGTGATGGCTCCTTCCCTCTACATCCATTTCAAAAGGGTGACTCTTAGAATACACATTCAAAATCAGGAGGCTTTTAATGTTGAAATGAGTCTAGAAAATACTTTGACACCTTTGCATGAGAAAGCTACAGGATATTGTCCACATTAGCAGCTTTAAAATCTGCTATGGCCTGTTATTGAGAGGGGCTATATGTTCCTTTGTGTCCCCTGGCTCTGTCTGTGCCCTTCCTCTAGTAAATCTGTGCCCGTGCTGCTTGGGGACTGTCTGTTTCAGTGAGCTGTGGTATTGTTTGGAATGCTTGTTGCTCTGTTCCTTGGATATTTAAAACATCAGTGAGGGATGGAAAACAATCATCTTTCTCCCTTCTCTGCAGGGTGTTGGGTGAGTTATTGTCCTCTTACAGAGAACAATAGAGTGAACATTTAAACATGTTCCAATGGTCTCTTCGCCCCAAATACAGAACATCGCATTGCTTGTGGTGTGTCAGCAAGCCTGCTGCCGTGCACATTTATTTCTCTCAGGCCCATGGCCAATGCTTTCAAAGTGCTGCAGTTGCAATAAGCTTAGTGTGCCTGCTCCGCAGGGAAAACCAAGCAGGCTCCTGAAGCCATGAGATGTAGGCTGAGTGAGGTCTGAGTAAAGCTGAGAGAAGCAGTTCCCGAATTGCTCTTTGCATCATCAAAAGCTGCACGCAGGATGTGGAAGGGAAGGAGGTGCTTTGGGGTAAGAACCGCGGAGCCTGCATACATGTGGCATTACCGAGCGAGGCTCTTGGATCCCACTTGTGGGAAAAGCAGCTATTGTCTGCCGGAGCCAGCCCTTAGGCGTTACTCTGGGTAGGCTCTGCCCCCGTGTGGACGGAGATGGAGCCGGTTGTGCACCAGGAGCAAGTTTTGGCACTCCTGGCCAATACATGGAGGTGTTTGCTGTTGTCAGGGGCTGCCTATAAGCAGACGCTTTCCTTTAGTACTCATATAAATGAAACTTAAACTGAAAGGGGGAATAAATGGTAAAAACGCTACGAGAAAAATCTCATTTCTCATCTACGCAAACACAAGAGAATTTCAAAGGGCATTTTTTCTTCATTTAATATTAAAATATGTAAATTAACCTAGAGGGGACTTGGATATGTTGTCTAATTCTTTCCCTTTTCTAAGGCATATGCTGTGAACTCCAGCACATATCTAAAGGTAAAATAAAGTGAGGGTCTTCTCTAGAACCCTGCAAAAACTAGATTTCCTTGTGGAAGTTTGTGGGGTTTATTAAAGATATAATAAGGACTAAAAGGACGTGTTCGGGCTTTTTTTAACCAGACATCTTGGGGAAGTATGCAATCTGGTTATTGGCTCAATGGGCAATTGGCTCCTTATACCTGTTTGCATATGCCTTATCTCACTGGATGTCTCCCTCTTCTTTCTCCCATTGAGAAGGCTATTTTATAGGCATAGGGCTCTTTCTCAAACCCAGAGCGTATTTGCTGGGGGCACCAAGAAGCAGACCAAGTTGTGAGCTCTCCTTAAAATAGTCTGTCTGTAAAACCAGTCTGTCCAAGCCAGGGAGGAATGAACATGATGCTTGTTATACTCCCACAAAGTGATTAATAATCATCATCAAAGCTTTTAATGTAAAATTACACTTTAAAATGTAGAACACCACAAAACCTCAGTGCTCTGCGGGCACAGGGCTTTGAAAACGCTGCAAATGTGATGTGAATGCTCACTAGTGAGGTGCTTAAATTAAGCTTATTGATCAGCCATCTAGCGAGTGTCAGCGTGTTAATGAAGGCGGCCTGCAGCAAAGTAGGCTGTGGGAGAAAGCAGGCGTTCATCCTAAGCAGAATGTATAATTGTATTTGGCAGATGGAGCTTTCAGACTAGCGAATCCAGTGCTAAACTGGATTAGTTTTCCCTTTAAAGAAAGCAGCTAATGTGGCTGCAAAGCTTTCACTCTCACCAAGTTATGCAGAGATCACTGGAGTAGAGGACAACTAAATGCTTTGCAGGACTCCACCTGTTTTGTATGTGTTTTATATATGTATATGTTTTACATATGTATGTGCACACAGTAGTGATAACTTCCATAGAAGTGCTTGGCAAGAATTGGTTAAATATGAGAAGCTCAGGAGCTAAGAGATGGTCACTCTAAAAACTAGATCTGAATGGGAGTAGGAACAGACTAGATCTTCTAAGACCAAAGTTAGTCCTGAAACAGCAGAAAAAGCTGAGGAACTGTCATAGTAAATGTAATTGTTCATCCCCCTATGAACCTAAATTGCTTAAATACAAGTATAGGAACAAATCAGCCTATGTAAGCAGAGCTGCTTATACTCTTGCCAGTAATCTTGCTATGTAATCACAGCATTGTGTGTTCAGTCACACATGTGACTTCTTAGTGCTGCCAACTCTCCCAGTGTCCATCAGGTTCACAGTCCAAGCAGCAAGATATTTCATCTCACTTCATTTCATGGAGAAGGAAGTGGTTTTAAGCTTTCTTCTTGCACAGCAAAACTTAAGAACAACCCAACTGCACTCTGAAGATTCATACACAGCAAGCACATGGGATTTGTGCCCCAGAAATTTCCATAGGAAACTTGGTTGGAAAATCTGCTTGGTGTTACAGCAAACCTGGGGGATCCCTGACCTAAATGCCCTTAATTTCCCATACCTCTCATCCTCTGGGTCAGTTTTAACTGAGTTTGAACTTACCATGTGTTCTCAAATTGGAGATGGGCAAAGCGAAGGATCAATCTGATTTTATTCAGTTTTAGCAGGCATGCAGTATAGAAAGAAACTGAGTTTCACAATGATTAAAGCAATTCTGGTTAAACATCATGGGCTCTGTCTCCTGGTCCGGGTTTTAGGGAGGCAGCATGCTTTTTTTGGGTGTTCCTGGCGAACGTTTCAAAGGCTCTGCTTCCCTCTAGCGTTTCAGATTGGCAATTTCTCACTTTTTTTCTCTAACTTTTAAATCCTGACTAACCATTTTTGACAATTTCCGATTTTTTCATGTTGCTATTCAAAGACGCTTCACTGGCCTACTTGTATCGTGCTTTTCTTATTCTTAACACACTTGTTCCCAGGCTGGGTTCTTATTTCCAGTGCTGCAATGCACACAAGGAACATCATCCTGGGTAAGAGAAAGGGGCTCCAAGCCTTGTCAGACTGACATAGGAACGAAACCACGGGCTCTGAAGGTCTTCTGGATGGAAGTAGTGCTTATAAATTAAGGTAATAAAAGGTGAAGGCAAAACCAAGGAGGTTATCTGCAATTTTGAGTGCATAGAGGAGGTGGGTGCAACTTTAGTATTGACAGCTCTGGAGTGTGAAGCCATCTGTTCTTCATGCTTAAATATTAGTGTGAAACTGCCTGCCTGTGTATCTATAGATGTCCCCTTTAATCAGCTGCAATCTGTCCAGGAAGCCAAGCTGTTGGGTTTTCTATGAAGCAAACGAGGAAGGAGCCAGCAAAACCTACGCTAGCAACACTTGTCAGTGCAGAGCTGCGCGGTTAATCCTGGCCTCTGACCACTGTCTTACAGCTTCCTGCTCCGTTTGGCTGGCCAAGGCTCAGACTGAGTTCAAGAGAGTGGCTGAAGAAAACGTGACTTTGCCCTGTCACCACCGCCTGGGTCTCCTGGAGCAAGGGAGCCTGGATATCGAGTGGCTGCTGCACATCTCCGAAACAGTACAGAAAGCGGTAGGAAAATCATTTTGTTTCTGCATTGACATCAGCAGCATCCATTGATTTAAAGAGACTTCTCTGAGCTTTGCAGGTAGTTCTGATGAAGTAGTGTTTAGAAAATACAAATTTGAGAGAGATTTACAACATAGAGAAGTTGTTTGATATTCACGTATGCTGCATTGGAACAGGTTGTGTCACAATCAAGTTTGCTTTAACACTGTTTTATAATCACTCATCACCGGATAAACTTCAGAATCGCCCTTTAGACTTTCATATATGACCTTGGATGTTTTAGGCCCAGTTTTTGAAACCTTGCTTTCAGGAAAAACCACAGTAGTTCAGCACTTACAAAAGTCAGGTCTGCAGTAACTTAAATTAGCTAGCCAAAACCAGACAAGATTAAAGACTGTTTTTATATGTTGTGACACAAGCTGACACCTATTTTGACACCACCAATATAAATCTCTAGCATAAATACAGTTTATATATCAGTCTCTGACTTGAAATGCAGCTTTAGTTTTCCACCCTGCCACAGGCTTCCTATGTGCCCCTTAGCAAGTGTCTTAACCATGCAGAACCTTAGCCTGCAATTCCTGGGAAGGCTCTGATTTGTTGTTCCACGTGAAAGTAAAATTACAGCTGGCTGTATACATGACACATAGACACAACAGTGTCCTTCTCTGCTCCTCAGGTGATCACTTACTCTGGGGGCCGTGTTTATGATGACCTGAATGAGGAACAGAAAGGGCGCGTTTCCTTCACTTCCAACTTCCTTGCTGGAGATGCATCCTTACAAATCATATCCCTGCAGTCCAGTGATGCGGGGAAGTACATATGTAAGGTTAAAAATGCTGGGCAGTACGAATGGGCTCGCATCACCCTGAAGGTTGTAGGTAAGCACATTTCATTGTTCTTCCAAAGGAAAAAAATCACTACACTCATTTCCTGGGAAGAGATTTATTTCAGCAGGGTATAAATACACAAAGACGTGTCATGATCAGGTTTCACTGTCCAACTCTGTATCTGCCTTTGCATTTTTTGGCAAAGGACAGGACACACGAAGAGCCTAAAGAATTGTTTTGAGGCAAGTGTAATTGCCTTCAAAATCATATGAACTGTTCTTTCCAAGTTATCTCCATGATCTCATAGGATGACCATCTATGCTCAAGCCGATATTCTAGCTTAGCTGATGATCCAGATCCCTTGCTGAGGACTCTGGGTTCATGTCCCAGGACCCCAAATTGATCCAAGTCACTGGAGACAAATAAGCTGCTGGGGTTAGCATTTCCTGTGGAAGAAGTGCTGTGGCCTGCCAAATGCTGTGGGGAGAAGGAATAAATGGAGAAGTAGGGGGAGGGAAAGGATGTTCTCTAAATAGTACCTAGAATAGGAGCACAATGATACAGCTCCAATGAGGCAAGTATCCACGAGGCAAACTGCCCCAGAGTACTATAAGGTGTCACTTCTATGTCTAAACCAGCCAGCTCTACTTCTTAGACTATGGAGTTGCACACAGTTGCAGCTAAAGTCCCCTAATAAACATCACTGGTGTCATTCCTTAATGTGTTCTAAAGAAGGCAGCTCTTGGAAGCTGCTTAAGTTACGCACTTTGCCAAAGAAAGGGTTCTCACTAAGGAAACAGTCTGATGCATTTGCATGACTTGTCTTCTGTTTCTTCCAGAGAAGCCTTCCAAGCCCAAGTGCTGGCTAGAAGGGGAGCTGTTGGAAGGCAAGGAACTGTCCTTGCAGTGCCGTTCTGCCTCTGGCACTGCCCCCATCTCCTACCGATGGCAGCGCATAAATGAGGAAGAGAGAGCTGAGCATCTCCCGCCTACATCAAGAGTCAGTAAGTCAGATCATTTCCTCTTAGGGCTCTTGGTACACTCAAAACTAGATAACCACCCACATGTACGTGCTCATGTACAGCCACACGACTGCTTTTTAAATGGGGATCCCTTGGTGGCAGCACAAGCAATGATACAACAGTGTTCTTGCTACTGCAGCTGGACAAGGAAGTGCATATAGGAGTTTGTTTAGTGTTTGCTGAAGGCTGACAAGTGAGGCATCATTGATTTGTTCTTGAACTGATTTGATCTGGAAGTTCAATCTGTGCTTCTGTGTGCTATCCACTGTTAAGCTTTCCTGGTCTTTTTCTTTCTTAATCCCAGTGTTGGTTTTCCTGTTTCAGACATTTCTAATCCTGGGCAAGTCCTACTGAAGAATCTTACGCAGATGAGCACAGGGTTATACCAATGCATTGCCACCAACGAGGCTGGACAAGAAACCTGTGTTGTTCAGGTGACAGTACAGCGTAAGTGTTGGCACATAACTAGTGTTTGCACCACTGTATGAGCAATGATGCTGTCCCATCTCACCTGGTGAACTTTGCCACACCCTTCATCCTTCAATCACATGAAGTCATTCTCATTTATTGCACTTACGGTTTGCAGACAGTCCTCTGTATAACTCAAAGTGGTAAATACATCATTTCGGCAGGTCTGATAGAAATCTGGGGTTTCAGAAGGACTAATGAAACACGAGGGGAAAAATAGCGAGGGAGAGGTTCCAGAGTCCCCAGATTTTAAGGTACTTCTAGCTGGAGTGATTGCATGAGGTTACTCTCGAGTATAAAGTCTCTGTGTGAATATTCCATTGTTACAATTCCAAACTCCATATGTCTTGCGCTTGGGACAGTAAACTCTCTACAAGCAGCTGGAAAGGCTGACTTTGATGTGAAGTAATGTGCAGAATAAAAAGCAACTTTTGACATAATTTGGGTTTAATCCAGACTTAATAAACTCTGTTGCGGACACCAGAGATTAAAATCAGTGTTTTACCTGGTTAACCCCATCAAGGGTGTGTCCATGTCTAGGTAAGGAAACGGGTGGAGTTTAGCACCACATTGAGGACAATCCAAACCATAGTTTAGCAGGTTTTTATGTGCAGGCCTCAGGGGAGATCAGCAGGAGCTGGAACTGCTGTAATAAGACTGTTAATGGAGAAGGCTCTTGGAGATTCCATAGCTTTGGAATCTTGCTGCCCAGCCAGGCCTGAAATAACTGGAATATGGTCACGTAGCAAGGGGAAAACCTGTTTGCCTCAGCCATCTGAAGTAAAAGCATCCATACAACTTGTATGCCAATTGAACTGAGTTGGTTTAAAACCTCGCTTTGGTTTGCTAAACCCTCCATAGGGACAAGCCTTAAAGAAATAACTTCTAGCCAAACCCAACCTAAGCACTCTTAGGAGAAGAAGTTGTCATAAAGCATCAGCTAAGGGCCCATATATATGCTAGGAAGTGTTCTTCCCTTAACTTTGTTGTTTTGAATGAAAAATACCTTACACAGTGTGGTTCTTTGTTCCGTCCTCTCTACACCCTCGGATCACTTTTTTCCCCCAAATTGAATAATTCATTCTTGAAGTGGATTGTAATAATTTCAGGATGAGTTGGAGGGAATAAAAATCTCCATGGGAAAACATTTGCAGTTCAAACACTCTTCTTTCTCTAGGGAACTGCTCGGTGCTTTGTTTCACATGTGAGTTGTCCTGTCTGTGGTTCTGCGCTCTTATGAGAGAATTATTCCTCGGAGATCTCTTTTTCTCCTCATTTCAATTCTGACCCATAGCTAAAGGCAAAGCACTTGTGATCCCACCCTTCCAGAGGTGAATACCTTTATCACTGTTAGCTCAGCTTTAGAAACAATGCCTGAAGATAAACTGGTTCAACCTCAGTGTGGAGACACGCCTCAATAAATAGACTAATATATTCTGTTCTGATTTATACACAGTTGTATTATGGACTAGAATCTGACCATATGGCACTAGTGAGAGTTTACCAGCTAACACATTTGTTTCTGGGCAATAGATGCACAAAATATCGGCATGATCGCAGGAGCAGTTTGTGGTGTGGTGGTGGGACTTTCCCTCCTTCTCCTTGTGGTGAGGCTGACAATAAGGAGGAAAGAAAAGAAGAGATATGAGGAAGAGGAGGCACCAAATGAAATCAGGTAACGCCTTTTATTTAATCGCCCATCTCCCACCCTCCCTTCTTTCAGTTTCACACATCTTTTCACTACAGTTTTAAGTAATCTGGGTGTTAAGTGCCTTAAGGTTGCTCTAAAAAGCTTTAAAAGCCTCCCTGAAACATTAGTGACAAATTTCTTGACTGCGAGAAACTTTGTGAAGAAATTCCAGAAAATTACATGGATGAAAATCTCTTTTTTCCCCTCCCCCCAGGATGTATTAGCATAAAACTCAACAAAATACTGTCTCACACTTGCCATTTCATTAGTTTTAAAGCATTTACATAATCCTCTCCAAAAGTACTAAATTCAACCCACTTGAATGTGGTTTTGAGAGGTGGTTGGTTGCTTGGTTTTGTCTTTTCAATGGCAATTCCTGTGGGGAATGCTACGAGGCAGGCAGGTCCTTCTTGAGTCTTCTGAACAACTGTGCTTCTGGATATAGCTCAGGGTGAAACATCCCCTGTGTGCAGAGCTAAGAAGCCTCACCCTGAGTGGGTGTACCAAGAATGCTGACGCATGTTCTTTGAACTCATCTGGTACATGCGTGTGAGCTCTGCTGCTTAACTCCCCTGAGCAGAGATTGGTCACCAGCCAATTGAGCCTGAACTCCTCAGGAAGGAAAGCCCGGGATAAAGATATTTCCAGGAATGAGTTTTAGCTGTTCCTGCCCTGGAAGAACCCCTTTGCCTTGTTCCAGCCTTCTAGCTGTAAAAGACTGCCTGCTCTCATACATCTATGTACCGTTAGGCATCTCTATATTCATTCAGCAGCTGATTACTCAGCCGGGTGTAAGGCTGCTAGCAAGGAAGTAGTCTCTGCTGATTTCTTCCCTTCTTCCTGTTCTCTTTGTTTTCAAATCTTAGTTTGAGCTTCAGCCTTTTGTATTGCCTTTTTATGAATGACTGTTACCTCCTCTGTGTCTCTGGACCCAGTTCTTGCACTTCTTTCACTGCCCACATCTCTTTTTGTTTAACTAGAAGAACCAGTCTCAATCCCGCCTCGGTCATTTGTCATTTATGAGTAAGGATTGCAGAGCAGACAGTTCTATCTGTACTGTTTGCACTGACACTTGGCATTTGTTCCACAGACCTCAAAGCTGCACACAAAGAGCCAGTCGTGTGCAGCGCCTCTTCTAAATCCATACAACCAATTGTTCCGCAGAGCAATAAGGAATTCAGTCCGGAAAGTTATGTAGCACAGAACTCAGAAAGCCCTGCACATGCTCAAACTGCCAGACAAGTACGTCCTGGCGATTTGCAGCTTCAATAAGCAACTTATTGCAGCAGCAATTCAGTCTGGTAGAATGTCTTAAGTGTTCTCGTGGTATTTGAGCCCTGTTGTCTGTTTGATTGCAGAGAAGATGCAGAGGCACCCAAGGCCCATCTGGTCAAGCCCAGTTCCTCTTCCTCTGGTTCCAGGAGCTCGCGCTCAGGTTCCTCCTCAACCAGGTCGACAGCCAACAGTGCCTCTCGCAGCCAACGGACTTTGTCGACGGAAGCTACTCCCCATCTAACTCCTCCCCAGTACAGCCAGAGGGAGGCAGAAGGGAAAGAAACTGAGCCCAAGAAAGTCGACTACACCAACCTGATGAAGATGGGAGCGACACTGGTCATGGTGCCAGCCCAAAGCCGGGCATTCCAGACAGTGTGACTGCTCACCAGCTGTCTGGAGATTCCT